GCCTGTTTTCTATCAATTTTGAAATTGAGTTAGTTCTTTTACAATGTCAAATTGTAACCACGAGGTTTAATTTTATTGTCATAAAAGAAAATATCACGTGACTAAGCACGTGTCCGGGTGGTCCTGTGGGTTCCTAGGTCCTACTCAGGATCTACCAGGACAGAGTACCCGGTTCCAGCCCTAGTGACAACAAGTTACAATGTCATATTGTCATTATGCCTGGCTTACAGATGTGTCATCATATCAACACCTTGGGCTGCAGTGTTAACAACTGTTATCAGGGCTGTCAGACCCTTGGACATTGTGATTATGTGGGCTGGTTGATATATGTGATAACCTTCTTCTGAATGACGTTATAAGTCACAGCCATAATTATCTTCAGATAATGTTTCATGTCTCGTACAGACAGTTAACATTGGTAACATCGGAGAGAATTATTGAAAGGTCATAACACTTGAATAATTAATCAAATTAATGCAACATCAGCAATTTTGCAGCAAACCTTAAATTCCTTCCAGGATTTAACATATATGGGTTACCAGAGGCAACTTTTTCAATTGACCATACTGACCGGTACCTAATTACAAGATCATACATACAATCCTAATCGTGTATGATCCTTTAACGCATGACCACTTCCAGTAAAAGTGGCATTGCAATATTGAGATATGCTGTGACCATATTGCAAAATTTATCAGGGACAGATATCGGTCAGCTTTCCCGACTCAATTCATCTATATTAAATGTATCTTAGAGGTTGTAAAAAATCAGGTATCTTTCGGAGCATCCTTATAAATCATCACTAAGCCAACTAGGAACCATATGCGGTTAACATCTGCTGCTCCATTATCAGCCATTTGTATTGGAAATATTACAACATGCAGATATTGGTCAAATTAGTCGATAATATCCTCTGTACATGTTCCCCATCTTCTACCTATTAGCAACAGATTTACATCAGTAACTGCTGCCTTCAGGGTCACCAATAGTCTGTCATACAGACTCCGAAAGAAATATATTCAATACAGCCCATGCAACATCTATAATATTTGACAAGTCTAGACAAATGCAGTCTGAAAATGAAGAGAGTCTCTGGGCTCCTTTTTATTATATTTTTATAACTATAATATAACAACTGTTTTTATCGGTAAAATATGTTCATTTCAGAGATAGATGTCAGTTTAGGTTACAACACAAAGCATTGCAAAATCAGCGTTCTCATTTACCAAAAATTAATAATTTTTTACTGGTAAAGTTAGGCTTGGATTGGATTAATTTAAACTGTCCGGCAAATAAAGTACTAGTACCTTTCACATCCCCTTTACACATCTTTGTTGTAGAACAAAATGGCAGCGACAATTAAAAAAGTACATTTTTCTAACAATGTTAGCTTGTCCTTACATCAGCATGGTTCCTTTTGTCATTTTTCAGTGCAAGGAAATAACATTTTACTTTGCTTCGAGGTTACAGATCTATTTATAGCAAACCAAAGTGAAATACTACAAAAAAAAGAGAGAAAATTGTGACTGAACTTTGTATGAATGACATGTAGATCTAACTAAGTTACTTTAGAGATGGACCCGTGAAGATCCGGGGTAGAATAGGTCTTCAGCAACCCATTCCTGCCTAAAAAAGGTGACTATGCTTGTCGTAAGAGGTGACTAACAGGATCGGGTGGTCAGGCTCACTGACTTGGTTGACACGTCATTGTGTCCCAATTGCATGGATCGATGCTCATGATGTCAATCACTGGATTGTCTGGTCCCGACTCGATTATTTAAAGACTGCCGTCATATAGCTGGAGTATAGCTGTGTGCAGCATTAAGCAACAAACAAACCAAACCAAACTTTTAGAGATGACGTCATTGGATTTGTTATCCATGAAAGTGTGTGTGTGTGTGTGTGTGGGGGGGGGGGGGGGTTGTTGTTACTACTGCCGATATTTAGAGATGCCCCACTGGGACTGGCAGTTTCGAAGCCATAGGGAACACTGATGTGGGAGATAAGTTTGAAGAGATGCAGGTCTTAGACGTTTAAAACATGGGTCAAAGAAGAGGTTTACGACTGCTTACTTAATCAACTACAGGAAGTTGGTGGTATTATCATTGGAACAAATAAACAGAGATTGAAACTTTCTTTTGACTTGGTGTCCACTCACCCCATCACTATTGTAGTGGAGCACAAACTATGCAATCCAATCACAGGTGTGGAGAAACGTTTTTTGACACAGTGTTCCCGCTGGCTTTTGAAACTACCAGACCTGGAGGACTGGCAACTCTAAAAATTACCAGTCCCCCTAATTTTCCCAACTTTCTACAAATAAAAAAACGCATGAAAATTACCTTGTTTTAATTCATTCAACATCATGTTCAATGCAATGACGTCATCTCTGAAGTAACTGAGTTAGATCTACACGTCACAAAGGTGAGTCACATTTTTTCTTCTTCTTTTTTAATATTTCAAGACTAAGTCCCCACAAATATATCTAACCTCGAAGCAAAGCAAAATGTTAATCCCTTGCACTAAAAATAGACAAGGGGAAACCCTGATGGTGACAGTCAAATTGACTTCGTTCAAAAAATATACTTATATGAATATCGCCAATGTCGACTCAACAACAAAGATTAATAAGGTACTTATCTGCCGATCCACAGGGACTGGCAGTCACATGGATTACTGGTCCAACCGGTAAAAAACTGGTAATTACCGGAAAATGGGAGCACTGCAGCAAATCATGTAGAGAAACAATAAAATCATGCTTTTTTATGATACTGTCTGTATTAATATGACCGAGTGACCTGAGATTACTTGACTAAAGCAGTCTATTTTTTAATCTTTGACTGACTAGCCCTTGTGGGGGTTGTGTTATGTCTGGGAATGTTGCCAGCTGGCCACCCAGTGTAGTGTCGAATGGCCTGCTTGAACTAATCAGTGGGGGACAGAACATGTAAGTGAGATAGGGCATCCATTACGGGTACAAGTCAATGTCCTAAGCAAGGGTCATTTGTATGTGTAACTGCATGTCAATGGACCACACATTTCTGCAACTCACACAAAATTGTCTCTACGAGTATCATTTATCCAAAATATGAAACAATATCAGCATGATAAGTCCAATAGCTAAAAAAGTTGACATTCTTTAACCGAATGACATGGAAATAATTATACACAAGGAATATGAATTAAATGGTTGATTTGGTGAGAAAAAAAATTGAATTTCAGGAAAAATTATCCATTTTTTTTCAAATCTAATTTCTCCACTGTATTCTTTCAAGAACATAAATCTATAGTATGTTATGAGAGTTTCTTTATCTCAGACAGGAAACATTATCTTCAGATATATATGTCCACTCACAGGTTTTGAATAAATAGACATGGAATAAGCTCAACAAGAGATGGTAGGTAGGCCTCGCGTACATGTAACTTCTGCAACTGTTAATTGAGGACTAGACACAGTAACTTGCAAATGTGTCAAGTTTAATTCATAATACACAATCATTTCTGATTCAATGTGATGTATACAGGGTTCACTTTGGAATGACACTAAAAAATGTTAAAAAGGTAGACACTCAGAAAAAAGGGTAAAAACAAGGACTGGTCGGTCTGGATATACTGTGGGTAAGTGGGTATCCACGTTGAACTGCTGCATGGTATCTTGGGATAGCACTATAAAACCAGCATTAGTCTGGACCGGTACAAGTTTGCCCACATAAAACCACACACTTGCCACATAGCAACACACATACATGTGCATGCACTCACTAAATAAGTGCAATAATCTTGAAAGCAAAGTTAAACCCTACTCCACCTGTAGACAGACACATATTTCACTCAGGTCGAGGGCTAGGGGCAAAACTTGCAGTCTGAACACCTGCATTAATACAGATAGAAATATATGTGTTCCTAAGTATGAACTAGGGCACTCATAAGATTTTACATGGTTTAAAGGTGCTCCTTAGTATTTAAGTGTGCCACAAAAATAATACTGTTGATCTTCAAACTTACGAATGTTGTTTCAGGTGAGGTGAAATGGGGTTTAACGTCGCGTCCAAGATTATTGCACTTATATAGCGACGTGCATGTACGTGTGTTTGTGTGGCTGCTTGTACTAGACCGGACTGATGCCGATTTATAGTGCTAGCTCCCTGAGATACCATGCCGCAGTTCAACATGTATACCCCACTCAGACACAGAATACTGACTCCGAGCCGACCAGTCCTTGTTTTAGACCCTAATGCCAAGCGCCAGACAGGGTAACAACAAGTACCATCTTTTAACGTCTTTTGGTATGACGCGGTCGGGGATCGAACACAGGACCTTCCGCTCTCCGGGTGGACGCTCTACCACTAGACCACAGAGGCGGTCTAATGTTGTTTCAACATGAACTAGATAACTGTAACTCAGAAAGTTTGCACTCTTCCATTTCACTGAGATTGAAACTTCCCCTTTTCAATTTCTGAAAATACATCTTATCTTTGTGTACAATACTCTCCCTTAGCGTGTTCTCTGGATTCATAATAAAAATCATCCCAATGCATACAACTGAAAAGAAGTTACAGAATACCCAATTTCTTCACATAAGAATCTGTCATGGCTGGTGAGTATTGCAACACACAACCTTCCAATTGTGGGTATCCTTCGACTTGTTTTAAGTAATAGACTGGTCACATATTACAGGGGAGGTGGGATCGGTGACCTTGGCCTTAGGACTATAATATATTTTGGCAACCCCACCCTTCCCCCCCAATACATCAATACATGTAACATTTTTCAATGCCCCCCCCCCCCCCCCCCCCCCCCCCCCCCCAAAATAAATAAGCAATTCGTAAATTTTGGCGACCTCCCCCTCTTTCGCTGTGTCTTTTTTTCCCCACACCTTCCCACCTCCTATAATAAATGTCATAAATGACCAGTCACTAATATATACAGAATAGTGTGGATTATAATCGTGCCATTATGATTACCATGCTCAATAAACACCTGCAATCAAAACATCTCACCTTATCAAACAGGTGCTCTGTGACGAATCCGTACACAAGAAGAGGTGTGGCATCCTCCACGCACTTCTGTAGGACTGCCTCCACAGAATCCCCATATTTAGATGGCGCCACAACCAACTGAGAACCAAACCTCAACAACGGGTGGTTAATAGTCACTTCCAACACTGCCGTTCCGTTGGCGACATCGGTGCCGCCATTATCCAAGAGTTCAAGGTCATTTTTTGGAATTGTGTTCCATGGTCCATTGTAAGCCTCTAAGTTATCCACCAAGTCGTAATCATCAGGCAGAGAGAGACTGACTGAAAGAGTGTCTCCACGGCGAAACCGAACCATTCGAAACTTTGAATCATTGTCTCTTTCATCTAGTGATGGGAATATAGCTTTGTTGAAGAGCTCGTTGACAATGCGTGACTTGGCGTAGGGTGTCTGGCCCAACACAATGATGGTCTGCGGCTTCTCGATGACCGACAGCACCTCCGACTCTTCCTCCTTCAGAAGCTCGGCTGTCACGATCTGAGCTGAAACACATGGAGACAAAAATAAACATTTACATAAACATAAACATATAATGATTTCGCAATTCCAAAATAACATTTAAATGTTGAGATCAATCTTTCTTACGATGAAGATAGAGTTGACTTTTGGCTGCCTAATAGATACAATATTGAAATATGTCATTATAGGTATCTCACAGTTGTCTTAAGTTACTTCAACCAATATGTTGGAAAAGAGGTAACATTTGGCCTTGATATTTAAACTAAAAAATTTGTAAAACTTACTTTTTAAGTGACGAATTATCAAACACAATACTTTTTAAAATTTATCGGGTCGGTCGGGTAGCCTAGTGGTTAAAGCGTTCATTCGTCACGCGGAAGACCTGGGTTCGATTCCCTACATGGGTACAATGTGTGAAGCCCATTTCTGGTGTCCCCCGCCGTGATATAGCTGGAATATTGCTAAAAGCGGCGTAACACCTCACTCACTCACTTTAAATTTATAATTACTTTCATTTTAACCACCAATATGATACATGGGGAAACATTTGCAAATCAAGTAATTGTATCTTAGCAGCAATGTCGGAAATGTCAACATGAAACAATACAAGATTCTATGAGGAAATGATAACATGTTGTTTTCGGGTAAGTTACAACTCAAACTTCCACTTCCTTCATATTAGGCAGAATTCTATTAGTTTCAATTATTTAACATACTGTCTTCCAAATACAAAGAGGTGGCAGCCATGTAGAGATTTATCTAGACCCGTTCAAAGGCTGATATTTTCAGTCCCATGTCTGCAGCAAATGTCAACTAAAATTCCCAAATCAGGCTTAAAACTTTCCTAATTCATGTTAATCTAGTTATAACTAATGTTATGGCTACGTGGAGTTAACTTGTACATCACTGACAATAGGACCAAAAAGGTGAAAGGCATTAATGCTTAGTTTTATATGATCGCACTGAACACATTTATTAACACATGTTGCATAAATCCAAATTCAAATACATTAAATCAAAGCAGTTTCACTTAAAAAGTGGTAGCTATAGGCATATAAAGCGTGAGTGATTCAGCCAAGTTAACTAGACAGATAGAAAAACTACTTGAGTACTCATAAGAGCTTTTCCCTGGCAGCTAACATTGCAGGCTTCAAAAAGATTAACCCTGCCAAAGTGCTTGTTCATTGTTCACTTGGTTATCCTAAATCACACAAAATTATCAAAGCATTTGGCTACCACAAAAAATCACAGAAGTGATACCATTATTTATTCCCATAACTGACTTTCTTTTTCAACTTGAAACATGTCAGCAAAAAATGTCAAAGGCATAAAGTTCTATCAAAATGAATCAATCCAATTCTTATTCATATTTTGCAACAGGATACCTACCCCTTCAATCCATCACTTACAAACCCTTCATGTTATTGATGGCATTCTATTTTGGACACAACCATGATAATGAATGATGATTTAATCGAAGTTTCAATAATCGTTACAATGTCCCTACATTATCATGATAACAAGCCTTATGAACCAGCTGTGACCTATCAGTATTAATGTAATTAACTGCTTACAATATTATGTTTGCCACCAGGCAAAACATCACAGGCTCTAGTCCCATAGAATCACAGTCAATGCCCTCTCTATGCTCAGTGGCAGAGCATTTTTGTATTTGTTTGTTTGTTTGTTGTTTAATGCCACACTCAGCAATATTCCAGCTATATGAAGGCAGTCTGTAAATCATCAAGTCTGAACTTGAAAATAGAGTGATCGACATCATGAGCATCGATCCATGCAACTGGTATACGATAACATGCATCAACCAAGTCAGCAAGCCTGACCACCCGATCCAGTTAGTCACCTCTTAGGACAAGCGTCTTTTACGGCAAGCATGGGTTGCTGAAGACCTATTCTACCCCAAATGTAGACCTACATATATTCATCACCCATAAGACATGTATTGTTTCACAGTAATGTCCCTACACCAAAAGTTTATCAGTAAAACTAAATGAATCGGAGTCATCAACAACTAAGCAGCGTTCAAAACATTTCAGTGAATGAAAGTCAACGATATACAGTAGCTTGTGTTGAAAATACTAAATTCGAAAAAATCACTTAGAAACCTCAAACATGTCGAAATGAGGTATTCCATACAAAGATACTGCAATGTACAGGCAATAGATTTCAAAGATATGTCCTTTTTAACAGAATGTTTTTGATATAAAATATGTCGACAAACTAAAGCCTAAAATGTGCAACTTGGAACTGTTGTCACGAAGTAAGTAAGGCCTATTACAGACAATATCAGATCTAATAATCTAAAAGACTATTACAGACAATATCAGATAAAATCTCTAAAATCGGTCAATAAGTCATTAAATGACAGTGTGTTACAGTAGTCATAACTCACTTCCGTTGAACTGTCCACTGTGGTTGATGTCCTCGAAGCATCGTTTTGTTTCATCCAAAATCTGACGAAGTCGCTGAGCGTGCCCACAAAATTTGTGGAGCTCATTCGGCAGAGTGGCAGCCATTTTCATATCTTGGTTTTATTTGACATTACCCGGTAATGCCCACTGGAACAAGGCCACAATACTACATGGCTGTATTTGTGCAAGAGCGATTGACAGCACAAACTGAATGTCTGAATCCCTGTCGGAAGTGTCTCTCAGGTTATTTGTGGCAACACTCGTGACCTGTGTTTGCGGAAGAAGTGTTTGAAGCGAGCACTTTGTTTGGAGTTACTTCCCTTGTTTGGAAAACTATACGCGCGCATTATTTAAAATAAAAGATCGACATTCGGCCTTCAGTTACTACGGTTTTGTACGCCTCACGTTTGTTGATTCTACACCACTCCTGTATTTCGTATAGTCCCTGATTTATATGATGAATGTGAGTTGGGTATTACGTGATCTTTTACCATGAATCTCTGTTACATTTTGAAACTGGAAATAGTACATTTGATGTAATTCTAAAGCCAAACCACTTAAATTGAAAACAGATAAAGAAAAAGTTAGTTGAATGTTATTATATATTCTCTTTATCTAACAAACTTCTCTGAACCTAACAATATTTACATTGTTATTTCTCTGACTTTTATCAACGATAATAGCAGCTTAGTCCACCCAATTCACTATAACTATAATTGTATTGGAATAGCATCTAAATAAATTCTTCTTCTTCCAAAGAAACCTCACCCGTTGTCTTTACTTCTATGTTTGAATATAAATTGAAGACAGGGTTGATTTTTAACAATAGAGATTAAAAAAAAACAAGCTGGGCCCTGTTTAACAAAGCGATCGTAGTGCTACGACTGTCGTAAGTCTATGTTAAAGTATGGGAGTTACGATCATCTTGGCGCTATGATCGCTTTGTGATACAGGGCTCATGACAACAAATCTTGACGCATGTAACAACCATGTTCTGATACGGTTATTGCGTCACATTTCTGTTGAACACTGTGCTATCTTTGCTATTTAGCCATGCCTAACACACTAATGGGATATAACCATCTCAGGTGGGACATGCCCTGGATGGGTTGGTTATATAACGTGGGCGGTGGTATCGTCAGTGTTTATTAGGTAGGGTATTTGGGTTAAATCCCATTAGTTAGACGTCCCATTGTTAGACATGTTTATTTGGGCAAAGAGGGAACATACCTACAGGTGTAATGGATCGGTCATAATTAGATTAAAGTACTGGGTAGGGATAGGGGACTCACAGTTTAGGGAGTATATATGTTATAATTTCGTTTAGTTAACCTAAATTACCTTACTCTCAGCACAGGTTCAATAGGCATGAGATTTCCTATGTAAACTATGGAGTAGCTTAATTGTCTTACTGTATGATCAGTTGAAGGAGTTGAGTTAAGATTATACTCATCAAACAAATAAAAAATATCTTGGGGTACGTATCATTATCAGTGTCGATATGGCTGGTTTAAGGAAAGTAGAGTACCTCACCTCTCGGAGTGGAAGTGAGCAGTTGATATTAGATGGATATATTTACAACAGAAACCGCGAGAGGCAAACCTGCACACATTGGAGATGTGTCGTCAAGACGTGCAATGGGAAATGTACGACTGTCGGTGACTTTCTTTGCAATCAGTCGGAACTAAACCATCCGCCTGAAGATGAAACCAGAGTGAACTTTGTCAGCGTGATAGCGTGCTAAAGCCCAAGCCCCTCCACCCCCACCCCACTTTATGATTTGTTTGTTTGCTTGTTGTTTAACGCCGAACTCGGCAATATTCCAGCTATATGACGGCGGTCTGTAAAATAATCGAGCCTGGGTCAGACAATCCAGTGATTGACATCATGCGCATCGATCCACGCAATTGGGATCGATGACATGTATCAACCAAGTCAGCGAGCCTAACCAATCGATCTCGTTAGTCGCCTTTTACGACAAGCATAGTCGCCTTTTACGGCAAGTATTGGTTGCTGAAGACCTATTCTACCCCGGATCTTCACTGGTCCGATACGTTCATAGTTTGTTTCTTCACGCCCCTCGCTGTGATGCTGTCTTGTCTGACATCACATGAGCATCTAAAAAATGGACAGATTAATAGAGAATAAAACTCATCCCAGACATCTCTTGTATCACATAATGGATGTAGTCTATTTGTTAATGGACTTTTGTGCCATCTGCCTTTTTCAATTGGAAGTCGATGATTTAAAGTTCGAAAATGGTATTTATTATCCAAAAAATTAAAATGTGGTTCAAAATATAAATCAGATTTAACTCAATTATATGCAGTGTAGTATGTAGTATTTCTTACTCCACCAAACCCTTTCACGAGAAATCTTTGGGCTATATAGCTACAAAGTAAGATGTTGGTATCACCTCATTCACGGTTCTACGAAATCGGTTCCAGCCGATGCGCTCGTTAAATCTCAGCCATCACTATTAGTTCACTCTCAATAGTCTGGCGCCCCAATGGCTGAGCGTGCCAATCATCAGACAGGTCAGTGAAGTGTGACCAGTATCACTGTCTATAGTCTGACCTACTTAATTAATGAGCATCGCCCAACTCCAACTCGTTAGAGTGCAGAGACCATATTATTATATGGCCCTCTAGCCTATGCGCGAAACCATCAGTGCTACGGCTTGTACTGCGCAGCCTGTCCTGTCTATTATATGGTCTCTGGTTAGAGGAAGAAAAATTGGATTGCAGGAAACCGGCATAATTTAAGGCAGCTTAGTCTAAAACACACGCTAACTGTACTTTGCCTTGAGAAACACTGTTCATTAACTGTATCCAGAAGGCAATAGTAGAGAAATGCATCAATGAATAGAGTTAAGATCTCGACAAGACAGCATCACAGCGAGGGGCGTGAAGAAACAAACTATGAACGTATCGGACCAGTGAAGATCCGGGGTAGAATAGGTCTTCAGCAACCCATGCTTGCCGTAAAAGGCGACTGTTTGTCGTACGAGGCGACGAACGGGATCGGGTGGTCAGGCTCGCTGACTCGGTTGATGCATGTCAGCCGTATCCCAGTTGCGTGGATCGATGTCCATGATGTCAATCACTGAATTGACTGGTCCAGACTCGAGTATTTACAGACCGCCGCCATACAGCTGGAATATTGCTGAGTTCGGCGTTAAACGACAAACAAACGAAGGTATCGACATTTTATACAGCTCACTTACACGACCCCACAGAAGCGCTCTCACCAAATTGAAATGCGGAGTAGCACCCTTAGAATAGAAACGGGCGGTGTGGAAATATACCGTATGAGAACATGTTTTAACTGTAATAATTGTATGGAAGATGAAACGTTTGTTTTATTGTTATGACCTTTATATATGGGCATTAGAGAAAAGCGCACACAATCAATTTTATTCACATGACTTAACAGAAAAGAGGTGCTATGTTTAGAAACCAAGAGCTCACCTTCCTGATCGCCAGAAGCTGCCATGACATTTTCCCCGAAAGAAGAGCTATTTGACATAAATAATATGAAGTCTGTTTTTATTATATGTATGTTTTCGTTAGTAGCATGTTATTGTCTCTCATAAATCGCTGTATGATTGGTCATGATCAAAATGTAAATATATATATGTTACGAACTTTATATTATATAGCTGTTTTATCATGAGAGAGACGTTCATAAAATAAGCTCTCTCTGTCTTTCTGTCTGTCGGTAGATACAGATAAACCAGATTATGATTGTGTTTATAAGTTGTATTTGAACTGTGCCCGGATGCTTGCGTTCTAAAACAAATCTTAGGAGCAGTTTTTTTGAGTGGTGTTGAACCTGAGACTATAAAACTATGGGATAATAAGTTCGTTTGCCCTCGGAGTTTATATTTGCATCCTTATCATATGAATAAAACTGCGATGGACCAATTTGTTATGAACTGAGTGAGTGAGTGTGGTTTTACGCCGCTTTTAGCAATATTTCAGCAATATCACGGCGGAGGACACCTGAAATGGGCTCCACGCGTTATACCCATGTCGGGAATCGAACCCGGGTCTTCGGCGTGACGAGCGAACGCTTTAACCACTAGGCTACCCGACGGCCCTCGTTATGCACTGTGATTCAAATATAGTTATATCACGTTGATAATAATATGGAAAGATAATATCACAATTCTGTCACATTAATGACAAATATATTATATTACGTTTAAATTTGTTATTAATATAAATATATCATAAACATTTTGTCAAAATACCTCATATTTTGGTACTCTGTCATTTGTGTAGGGATGTTCCACTTTAGACTCAGGTAAACAGGTAACAATTACTACTGCAATCAACATAAGCTAATCCCGGTTATAACAATGTCTTTCGTCACGATATGGCTGAAATACTGCCGATGTGACGTTAAATCTTAACTCACTCACTCTAACAATGTCTGACAATTGCGAGGTTACCTAGCGATCATTTACTATAGGTACTATAGCACCTGTGGAGAAGCGTCGCATTGGAATAATTAAGAAGTTGAAATCAATATGCAACCATGTCTTCAATGATATAACAGCTCCAACATTGTTTGTTGTTTAATTCCACACTCAACAATTTTCCAGCTGATATGACGACTGTCTGTCCAGAGGGACAACCAAATGTAGTATGTTGTTGGCAGTAAAGTTATCTGAGAGAGGCTTTTGATATTATGATTTTATGCTATATGACGGCGGTCTGTAAAAAATCGAATCTGGACCAGGCAATCCAGTGACTGACACCAGGAGCATCAATCCACACAATTGGGATACGAATTTAAGCATGTATCAACCAAGTCATCAAGTCTGACCACCCGATCCCATTTGTCGCTTCTTACATGTATCGGTTGTTAAAAACCCATTTTTCACGGGGAACAACTTCTAAAATCCACTTATAAAGATATTGTATAGAAATTGTTTATATCGTCAAAAACATATATTGTAAACCAACAAAAACGTTTTCTGACGTATTTATCATATACGAATTAGTGGTCGATTACGGCAATCGAATATTGGACCTGATTGTATTTAGTTGGTTGTGTACAAGTGTTGTATTAACATATAGTCCATGGTTGTATACTGACTGAATACTTCCCTCGGTCACAATACAAATTACCAGAAAATACAATTGAAGAGCTTAGAGCCATAAGGGCCAATGTCATGTGGAGTCTGTTTTGAGAAAAGTGATGAAAACAATATTATGCATGTTAATGAACCTTTGTTTTACCGATAAATTCCTAGACATTAACGCATT